AATTCTATACTGATGGCTCTCTTGTTAATTTAGGTACACCTTCCTTACGAATGGGTCTGGCCTGGATTCAAACTGCACCAGTTTCTCCTTTGCTTTCTTATGCGTCAGCACTGACTTCATCCTTTCCATCATCATCTGTTGCAGAACTAACTGCCATCTTCACCGCAATTTTAGTTGCTCCTCAATATTGCCATATTAAAATTTTTACAGATTCCCTAGTGGTAATCTCACAATTTAAGAAATACAAAATGCTTATGGATATTTCATCCTCACGAAGACCGTTCCTTAAAATTAGCAACGTACATATTTGGAATTGCTTTTTCAATGTTATTGATGCATATTCGTTATCAATTATAATGCACAAAATCAAAGCTCACTCTGGAGACACGTTTAATGAAAAAGTGGACGTGTTGGCGAAGAATGTGCTTAACACACAAGCTCTTCACATAACCCCTTTTGACCAATCACATCCATCACTCTACCTTCATCAAATGGCGATTGCTTCACCTATTAGACCGATTATCAAAGATATCACTCGATCAACACATTTGGTTTCCTTTCTAAACTTGGATATCAATCGTAAATATCTCACTATGGATATAAACTGGATTGCAACAGCATTCTACATCTCAGATAATTCCGCCACTTCAACAACAACATATGAAGTATCTGAATTAAAAAAAGAAAAAAATCCAAAGAATCTTAGAAATGCTCCCTTCCATAGCTGTTTTACAACTACGACACCCTGTGATCTTTGATCGCTCCTTCCTATGTATTCGTTGTAATACAACGCGTGAAGATTTCAATCATATTTAGACTTGTGCTACAGTCTATCAAGACATGCTTGATATTATCAACCTGTCAAAGTTATACCTGATGGATATTACTCAAATGGATAACCTCATCCCATTTACAGATCACCTAGACATTTGGTTATCCTCCTCAACTTAATCATTCTCTTTCGTTGATTTAATCAAAGATGTTATTCCCACCGTACTCTATTCTTTTATTAAATCACAATTTACTTCACATGAACATACAATGGCAGCAGTCTCAGACTTTATATACTTCATATTTACTCATACTCAGAAAATATGGGTTGATCGATGTTCATTACTCAAAGAGGTTGAAAAATCTAAAGACATTACAGATCTCCTTAAGAGATCTCATACTGAAGCCACAGGTTACCAATTTCAGTCATTTTTTGCTAACCTCTCATCTATTGATTTAATTACTAAGATGATGCATTTGGGATCGCATTGGACAAATTTTTGGTGCAGTAGGGACCAAGCCCTTTCCTTTCTCTGGTTGGTTTACTGGAAGGTGATAATGTAAATTTTGTTTATATTGATTCTAGGAAAGTGCAGGGTCGGTTTTGATTTAGAATAGTTTCATAATTATTTTAGATAGAAATTTTCGTAAATTCTGTTATATGTAATTTGTAATTTCTTATATTTTATTATTAATAAAGTCTTTACGAAACTACCGCACTTAAAAAAAAAAAAAAAGAAATCATCATTGTAATCGATAAATCGTTGTTGTCATTATCATTATTCAATCGCCTCTGATTTAAAACCAAAAAACTAGCAAATAAGCAAAAAATAAAATAAATTGTCCTACTCACCCTCCCATTTATAAAAAAAATAAAATAAAATGCGAAAAAAAGAACAAAATGCGAAAAAAAAAGCAAATAAAAAAACTTAAAATGTCTTATAAAAAAAGAACAAAATGCGAAAAAAAAAGCAAAAAAAAAACTTAAAATATCCCACCGCCCTCCCATTTATAAATTAAAAAATAAAAATAAGCAAAAGAAAAAAAAATATTAAAAATCGTTACATCGTCATCGAATCTACCATCTCGAGATGGTTGTCGCCATTAATCATCCATCTCGAGATAATCAGAATCGTATTGTTCATTGCTACTAGCTGCTGATGTTTGCCCTCTTTTGACTTCGACAAGTTCTTTGTTATCTGTAACATATTCTTCTTCACCCAATTTTTCGATGTTAGTGTCGAAGAATATGTTTAGTTGTTTGATTCAAAACCATTCAAGGCATTTGAAGGATGCGACCGGTCGAAATGCTGCACCTAGTCATCATATATTCAATTTTGTTGTGCACTTGCTGAAGTGACTGAGGTTGCAGCATTTTGGTCGAATACACTACGAAGGAGATTTTTTAGCTGAAATAATAAAAAAATGTTTAGTAATTTACTAAAATTTATAAATGAGAATTTTTTTAAAAAAATAGTAAACTTTGATCGATTGCCATGAGAGATCGTATACAGCGATGACAGACTTTTATTCTGGATCATTTTCATCTGTCTCGCTTATTTCAGGAGAATAGTATAGATGATCAGCTAGCATTTTCAATAAAGATCACTTTTCGTATTTCGTAATTCGTACGTTGTTATTCGCAAATAATCATTTAGTGGTCTTTACTCGTCATAATTTTTTCTAGAAATAATAAATTAAAAATTAAATAAACTTAATAGATCAAAATTCAGATTAAAATCAGAATTCACTAACTTTGTATACTCGACCATTCGCGTGTAGTCATCGTTGTTTCATAACAGCCTTTCCGCTTCGCTTGTATCATCGAGTTGATTGTTGAGATTTATGAAGGCTTCGAAGCCAGGTTGTCAATTAGTCAATAGAAGGTCGAAAATTTGGAACCAAGAACTTTCGTAATTCTGGGATTAGACTCAGTTGCTTTTCAATATTTTTTTTGCTATTAAAAGTTTCATCATAGTCTAAATCCCATTTTGAATCGATGATTTTTAAAACTGCTTTCATTTCGGCCTAAATATGAAAATCAGAAAAAAAAATCAGTCTGTAATTTAGAATATCAAAACAATTAACAAAATTCAAATATACCTTGGCTCCTTTCACGTTGGATTCTTCTACTGACGAATTGCCGTTGTCTTCAGAGACGATTTTTGTCAATTCATAATCCATCTCATCATCGGTATAACGGACTGGCTTCTTGCCTTTCACTTTTCGTCATTTAGCAGAAGGCTCGTCGCTAGAACTGTCTTTCAGCTGTCTCATTGATTTGGGCAGCTGAATTTTCGCAAATCGATCGAGCCTGAAATATCAAAAAAAAGAAGAGGTAAGAAAATTATTAAAATAAATATTCTCAAATAAAATTTTACCTCTCCTGCAAATTATCGTTTTCCCTGTCGAATTCATCGTTAATTTCAGCAAGGAATCAGTTTTCAGATTCTAGTCATTTATTTTTGCAGGAGAGATTAGAATTTTTTCATTTGAATTGCTCAATCATTTTGCAAAAATCGTCGAGTTGCTCCTTCACTTTCGATTTTCTATATAAGAATATAAGAATATATTGTTAGATTACTATATTTATTAATCGGAAAATAAGACAAATTGATACCAGTTTGTAAATCATCAGATTTGTCGATAGTTATCATTTCGACTAAAGCTGAAAGAGTCATTGTCGATTCGCGTTAGAATTTTGATAGAGCTGAATGTTCCCGTATCATTTTCACAATTCATCAATATTCACTTGATCTATAATTTGGAAATTTAAATGAGTATCAAATATATATAATATTATATAATAAACTTACATTCTGAGACTTTTGGCTCCTCATCAGATTTACATTTCATTTGTTACGCTTGTTGTGCTTGTTGTATTTATTTCGCTTGTTTCTTTGAATGTTGTTTACTTGGTTCTTTTCTTTTCATACTATTAAAGAAAATGTAAAAGTTGATTAATAGAGATTTGGTAAATGCGAAAATTGAATTTATATAATTAATTAATAAATTATACATGCATGCAAGAAATTATTATGCAAGGAAATATTAAATAATTATTTTTTTTTAAAAAAAATGTGTTTTTTTTTGAAAATAAGAAAATGTTTAAGGAAAATAATAAGATGTTTAAGGAATTGCTACTTCCTAAAGAAAGTCAATTGAAAAATTAGTACTTTTATATATCTCAAATTAACTAATTCTTACACATTCGATTTTGATATACTTTTACGATAAAATATTCTTACAATATTGCTCATTCGACTTCCAGTTTCTCAAATCAACCTAAATTCTGACTCATTCAACTTAAAATTAGTTTTTTTTTGACAAAAATATCCTTGCGATATTATTCATACAACTAGTCTTACTCATTATATATATATTAGCAATTTACGATAAAATATTCTTGCGATATTATTCGTTCAACTTCCTGTTTCTCAAATCAACCTAAATTCTACTTGAAAATTAGTTTTTTTTGACAAATTATTCTTTTGATATTATTCATATAAGATAAAATTCAGTTTTTAGTTGAAATTTTAGTAGTTGTGGTTGAATTTAATAATATTTATTTTATTTCTTTATTTTATTTTTTTTAACCAAAAAAACATCTTTAAGCAAAATTTTTATCTAACGTGATAAAATTTTAATTTCTTACCCGAATTTGTAATTTGTTTATAAATCAGAAATAAATAAGCTTAAATAAACTTTTAATATAATTGAATCAGAAACTTTAAATAAAGTATTATTTGATAGATAATACATGCAACAAACAATACATAAATCATCCTTATACTATAAAATAATATTAAGAATATAAAATAATACAAATATGAAGTTTATTCTTATAAATTGCTCTATTTTGAACTTTTTTTTCTTTTTTTTTCTCTTTTAAATATATTATCAAAATGAGCAGAAAAAGGTCAATCGCTAGCATACTTGATGATGAAGAAAATGACATAAATCAATCTTCTACTGTGGCTTCTTATAGAAGAAACAGATTGATTACTAGTTTAATTAATGAAGAAATATTTTCTACTTCTAGAACATCATCATCACGTAATATAATAATAAGATATCATTATTTATAAAGCTCAATTTCAAATGCATTTCATTAACTCGAAATTCAGGAAGAAACTGGAGAGTCTTTAACAACATCAGCTTCAGCTAAACGAATTATTGAATATAAATTAGAAGATGAAGGATTCTGTTTCTACATTTGTATCTCGAAGATGTGTAAATAAGTATAAAAATCGACCAAAACCCAACATAAATCCTCCTGATGACAATTCCAAACAAATTGTTAATAAGCCTTCTGAATCTTCTGAATATACCACTGAAGAAGACAATATTTCGGGTAGTAGTAGTAATAGAAATGAATCAGATAAGTGAGAATCAGGTGATGATGAAGATTATGAAACATTTGAGAATTATACACCACCTGATTATGAGCCATTTCAGGACCTACCAGATCTAGGATCAATAATTGATAACTGAATTTTATGGATTTTGCTCTAGATTATGACATTTCGGACAAGATTCAACATAATGGAGACAGCAACTGAGGCTTTGATAAAATTTATGAAATTAGTATTAATAGAAATTAGTGGAGATAATTTTAGAGACTTTCCAGATTCGATGTACTTAACAAGAAAAGAACTTGAATTAAAAGATCATTTTTATAGTTTCATTTCTTGTCCGAAATGTCATAAGCTATATAAAAAACAGGAAGTGATAAATTTTAGACAAGATGATTCACTTGCTATAATGAAGTGCCAATATGTAGAATTTCCTAATTCATCACTCCGTAAATCACGATTTTGCAATACAACTATATCTCGAATCATCAGTGTTTCAGCAAATCGAGTAATAATTCAACCTAATTTAATCTTTCCATTTTCTGAAATCAGACAACAACTCGCTTTGATGTATCGTCAGCCTTGTTTTGAAAGTTGTTTGAGACAATAGGCAAATCGTTAGCATTATGATAATATTAGGACTGATATATATGATGGTCAAGTATGGAGACATTGAAAGAATTTTCTAAAGAAAATTCACAAAATTTTTTTAGAGATGAAGTGGCTGATTCTCACCTTAGATTAATCTTGAACTTGGATTGGTTCCAACCTTATAAAAGCACTGTATATAGTATTGGTATTATTTATACTGCTATATGCAATTTTCTGCGTGATATCTGATTCAAACGTAAAAACCTACTGACTCTTAGCCTCTTACCTAGGCCTAGTGAAGTAAGTTTGCACAAAATAAATCATTATTTAGCACTGATTATTGATGAATTAAAATCTCTTTGGGATAGAATAACTATAGATAAAATATACAAATTTCAAGAAGAAAGGACCATTTGTGCAGCTCTAATTCTTGTTTCATGTGATATACTAGCCGCTAGAAAAATATGTAGTCATGTTTCAGCCTTAGTATCATGTCATAGGTATGAGAAGAAAGCAAATTATGAAAATCAGCAGCATAATTTTGCCAGTATGGATGATTTTGATGATTGGTTCTTCATGCAATATCCAACTAAACATCGTCAGAATGCTTTAGAATGAAGATATTGCAATTCTGATGCTTCACAAAAGTAATTTGTAAAACAAATTGGTGTAATATGATCTGAATTATTATGATTACCATATTTTGACCCTATTAGATTTATCACAATTGACCCAATGCATTGCTTATTTTTAGGAATTGCACGATAGATAGTAAAACAAATTTAGATCAATAGGGGAATTTTAACATCAAATGTCCTGAAAAAAATTCAGAAAAAAATGAATGAGTTTCAGATTCCATCTGATTTGAGTTGAAATTATGGGTAAAATTTATGAAGGAGAAGGATTTTCTAATTTCATAGCCGATCAATGGCGAATTTTTTTACTGTTTATGCCACTGTATCGCTTTGGAAACATCTTTCAGCTGTAAATAAAAAGATTCTTACACATTTTGTGAAAATTTGCTTAATTTTAGTTAGCCGAATTATAGAATCAGATCTTATTTTAGAAGCTCATCAAAGATTAATTGAAATAGCAAAGCTGATAGAAGTTAATCATAATCGTAATAAAATTACGCTGAACATTTATTTATCTCTTCATTTATATGATTGCTTATTTGGTTATGGGCCATTGTATGCGTTCTGGTGTTTTTCTTTCGAACGCATGAATGAAATATTAGGTAATTCATCATTATGAAAATTTTCCGATTGAATATATTTATTAATTTTTAAATTTATAATTCTTAGGTCTTTACCAAATAGCAATAGAAAAATTGAACCTAAACTTATGCGTCAATTGATATTTGATGATCAAATTGACAATATCATAAATTCCGGTGTTGAAATGAAAAGGCTTGAATTTTTAGACAATCAGCTTTCTATTGGCTTTCTTTCAGTTATTAACCAATTTTCATCAGATAAAATATACTGATTTTGGATGAATTTCCAAAATATTAAAGAATCACGTATTTTTAGTAGTGAAAATTTTCCAGGAAAATTTCTTAAACCATTATCTGATAATATAATCATTTCAAATGAAATGCTGGATTTAATTGTTAAATATTATTTAGCAACTTATGAAAATCTTGAATTTCAGAAACATTCAGCGATGATTCAGAAAATGCTATAATAATTCAGTTCTAAATAATTCAGTTTGGAAGATGTTAAATTGGTTCTGAAATCTTCGATTCAATAATGTCTTTACGACATGAGAAAAGTTCATACATTTTGACTAAATTTATTACGAATGATGATGTTATTGATTGTTATCCAGGTCAAGTTCAATATTATTTTTAGGGTTTCATAATTCGATTTGATATTTGAATATTTGATTTGAAAATCAAATCAAATACAAATACAAATTTATATTTGATTCAATTCG